TGTGGAGACCGTGGTAGCGCGCGAATACATTTTACAATAATAAGCGGACGATGAGATGCATTCCTTATACAGACTGTCTCGGAACTTATTTTCATCTGCATGTGTCTTTAAATTTGAAATCGATTTCTTTTCAATGAAAATGCATTGTATATTTACAAGTGGCTAACAGTAACAAAAAAAAACAGTAATTGAAGTTTATTCTACGGTTAATCGCAAATTTTTATATATTATTTGAGCGATATTTTAATTTAAGAACTAATTAAAAACTGGTGATAAATTTAGTATTGCGTTATAATATTATGTTTAAATATAAAATGTTTTATAATAAATTGTGTTATTATAAAAAAAGGTGAAACATCAGAAACAGCGATAATAAAAGAATTTTTATTCGAGATTAAGTAACTTTGTGAGAGATAATTTTGTTAAAGTTCAATTTGGATTTTTTTCGTATAAAAAATTGTTTCTCCGATATGATTAGTTAAGTATTACTTGCGATAATTTTTGATGACATATATAACTTTATAGATTATTATTATGTTTGTTCGCTAATATTCTCGTTGTATTAAATGCTGGTTGCAATGTATACCATAAATATACCAATAGAAATCGATAAAGAGATTACTGATAAAGTTACGTAATATTAATAATCTTACGTTAATTTTATGTTACTTTGGTACTTGGCTTTAAATCGGTAGATAATAGTTTATTTTTAGATTATTACTTAGACTTGTGATATGTCAAAGTGATTTTTTTTACTGTTCAAATATTTTAAAGAGCAAATAATTAATATCGGCATTTTTACGATCTACAGAAAGAAATGTTGTATTATCTTGTAATCTTGTATTATTATATATATAAAATATATATATAGTAATACATAATAATATCTATATATATAGTAATACATAATAATCTCACGAGAGATTAAATGATATAAGTTTATATAGTTTGCGAAGTTTGTTTCGATAATAACATCGTTACATTAAATGCTGATTGCAATACACTGTGCAGTATTTTCTTCACCTTGCAAATATCGTAAAATAAAATTGAGATTTAATTAAAACTTTTAATTGATTTTTAGGATGGGCGTTTATTATTTTTCCTCTGAATTACACTTATTATTTTTATAGACACCTATGTAGATCCAATTATAAACGTCTTATTATATTTAAAAAGAATATGTCTGACGTTAAAAGTTGCATTACTGAAAAAAATATTGAGTTGTATTGAAAAATAAATGAAAATAATGAACAATAAAAAAGAGTCATGAGAATGAAACGCGAATATTACAAAAGTCCTGGTCTTTTGGGCTTTTTTCAGTTTGATGGATGCAATCTAGAAAAAATAAATTAAAAAAAAAAGAAGATTGAAGTCAAGATTAAATGTTAGTTTTTTTCTATGTCAGCGGATGATAAAAAGATTAGCGCATCTTCTTACGCTAATTTAATACGTATGTATCGTCAGATGATACTATGTGCCATATATTCTTTATTACACAATTTTTAAAATATAAAATCAATTTTACAAAATTAATTTTTTATTTTTAAAATCAATTTTTAGTTATTTAACAATTTATTATATATATTTGCATTTTTTATTATATTTTAATTTTATACTTATCAACCAATGTTACTGCATCGACTGTTGCATCGACTGCTGCATCAACTGCTGTATCGACTACATATATACATGAACTCTTCGAATTATGTTACCGATCAATTCAATTTTGAAATATAAACTCTGAGATTTTTAAACTATAGAGATATGCAATTTTAATAATTTGTTAAATAATTTTTGTATATAAAATGTGTTTATTGCTATAATTGCAACAAGGAGAGTATATTTATTCTACGTTTGCGTAATACAAAAAAGAAAATTTATTTTGAATAAACTAATAAATTTATTTTGTTTTATTTTTTTTGCTAATTTCATAGTAATTAAGCTTTTCTAAACATTATTGTTTGTATACAATTTCAAAGATCATTTTGAATCTTTTGACTCTCTGTATACATTATGGATTTTTTCCATGAAACCGTACACAGGTAGAAGAGATGAGGATGGTTCGTGCAGATAAAAGATTTTTTGACGACTGTCGCATCGGAACCTTTAGTAAAGGCACATGGTTTGCCAACAATCGTTTCCATTGCGGTCACTAAATCAAAATGGCTGTGCTTTTGTTGTGTGTTGACGGCTCTCGTAGAAAAATAGCGGTATAGTTATAAAGCTTTGCTATAATGCCGACGCTATTGTGATGACCATAATTTAACTGACTGGTTGCTGCGACCAGTGATATAAATGATATTACGAGGGGAAAATAGAAAATACTCTTTTTTCGGCTTTTTCTTTGCTCAGAGCAACGTTTGCAGAATTATTTGTAAGAAATACATATTATATTATATAAATATGCATTATAAAATATACATATTAAACAGTTAAATAGTTAAATACAATATACATTATTAAAAATATATTCAAAGAATTTTCCAAAGAAGCTTATTATTAGCTTTTTTCTAAGCCGAGTAATAAATTTTGAACGCCATTAGCAATTTACGACGAAAGAAGCAACAAGATAAGAAGATTATGTGTAAAATAAAAATTAAGTGTGGATTTATTATAAAAGTATTAATTATATCTTTAGGAAATCATCAAATACTTGATATCCTGCGATACTAAAACAATATATTTTTATTCAAATTCCCGAAAAGCCCTGAAAAAATCTTTCAGCGAAAGAATCCGCCGCGCGCTTGACCGCGCTAATATCTCAATCGCGGTTTTCGTCGGTGCCGTGGATTTACGTCACACCGATGATGGTCGATAATACCATTTGCAAGCAGCCATTTTTATTTGCCGGTTCCAGGCACACATTCGCACCAGGCCAGCGCACGTAGAACGTACGTGAAGTCGTCAGGAAAGCGCTGCAGCCATTACGACTCTTACCGTGGCGGTTCGCGCGGCGCGTCAAAGAGCGCTCATTAAATGCTGGCAATTAACTGCAGGCCAAGTCCCGGGGCCCCGGAGTCTCTCGTTTTCCCGTTCCCCGCCGCAACCCTCGCCGTCCCCTTCCAGGTCTATCGATGTTCCTGGTCTCTGTCGGAGCCTCGTGTGGCTCAGTTGGCCCGATGGTGGTGGTAGTCGAGGTTCAGGTGTAAATGCAAGCCCGAGCTCGAGTCGGACCCACGCGCTTTAATGGGCCTTGCCAACAAGAACGATCGGCATGCGACCCATCTATCACCCCGCGAGCTGTTATTTAATGGTTTGCATCCTGCCTCGGTCTCTCCCGGCCGCCTTGCGAAGCCGATGGTGACGCAGCTTCACGCGGATATAGATATACGTCTCCTCACCTCGAGGGGCACATGCGTGGAACTGCGAATATTATTCACTTCCTTCCGACGCGCATCATTCGCGATCTGTCGCAGATCGGTTCTGCCGTTGAAAATAAGATTTCACTTAGCCGCGCGTCTTTTCCATCTTCGGACTTTCCTCGAGATCTCTTCTTGATCCTGCGAGATCCTTCTTGATACCTCGAAACGGCACAGATTCTAAGATTAATTATAATACAATTACAGAGATTTTAATTTTGTTATCCGACACAAAATTATAATCTTTGATGTATACAGTATACAGTTATAAATATATTTATAACTTAGTTGTAACATATTTATAACTAAAAAATATATTTTGATTTTTGCGAAGTTTAAGTATAAAATGATATTGTAAAGCATGACTTTGATGTTCATTATTAATTTACATTGTAGATGTCATTTTTCAATCATTGACATTAACTCTCGCCGCAGTTAATCAGTTAATCAACGCGTAAGTATCAACTCGGTCTCACGCCCTGGCGCGGATCTCGCAACAATGTTCGCTACGCGACCTGCCTATCGTCGGATGATCTACGACTTAAAGGTTGGTGCATTCGCGATCTTATATCGCGCAGGACTAAAACCGGTAACGTCCGCCTTCGCACATTACACGTGTGCAACGCGGGGAATTTATCAACTTCTCATCAACGACTACTCGGCTTCAAACGCTGTTTCTGGATGATGCTCTAAATAATCGCGATCCACTCTTTCGCAGGTATCATAGAAAATGATTTACGAGTGTAATTTGCTGGGAAAGTTTCCTCATAATTAACAGCGAAGTCTTATATTAATAATACGTGACACTCGCGGCGGGGCTCTTACATAAGGGTTAATAACCCGTTCAGGAATAATTAGAAAGCTTTGAACTAATTTTCTACGCAGGAGTAAAAAGCTGATTTATATCTAAATATCGAACATCTGTCTGAGATATGTCTGTCAGCAAAGAAAGTAACGGTTTCAATAAGTTTCAATTGAGTACTGTCAAAAAACAGCTTTAAAATTTTTCTAAAAATTGTGTCAAAGAAAGGAATTATTCAATCAAAGGATATTATAAAAAAATGAATACTAAGATGGTCTTAAAGATCCCTTTGTACATCCAAGAACTATAACGTATCTTAAGAAAATTTTATCAATTCAAGTCTTTGCGTGTTATAAATCTAGCATAAAATCTGAATTTTATATCGCGAACAAAAATACATACGATCAATCTTTGTTGGTAGCGAAAAGGTGTGTCAGTTTTATTATGCGCTAGAAATTTTACTACAGTTTTTATAAAAAGCTGAAGGATCACAATTTCATTCACAGATATCAAAATGCATTGACGCTCATATGACCTGCTGTTTCGTCTTTGTGAATCTAATAATCGCGTCAATCAGGAACATCGGCTTCTGCTGCGAACAAATTGTTCGGAACGTTTCGATATCCATGGGCGGGTAAACTATTGCCACTGTGTAACATTAAAATCCTGTCAAAATACATCAATGGCATGAGTAATAGCCGCAAGCTGGTTGGCCGAGATAAAAGGATTGGACCGCAGTCTCTCGCAAATGAATAAATCGCCGAACAATTAGAAGCATTTTGTCCTTGGGGAATATTTTCGGATTAGAATATCGTCTTTGTGGCAACTGTGCCTACGAGTTTTCGCATCGTGAAACAAGTCCCGAAGGACCCGATAATCCTAGTAAAAAGACCTCCACCGGAAAAGGTTCGCAGGGTCATTTTAACCACAATGCAGATTTTTAGGATAATAAGCCCTTTTCAAAGATTTTAAGGGCTTATTATTAGGCGTTAAAATGAGGAAATACCAAACCCAAATAAATTATATTTTAAGAAACTTTCTGCTCAATAAGCGTAGATAATTGTAGCAAGAAACGAGGTTTAAGTTTTAGATTTAGCTCTTAGCAAATGCGTTTATCTTCGATGCCTTTGAAATATAAATATAATAAAAACCATGTTTATAAAAATTTTAAAAGATTAACTTTTATTTACTTGAAAAAATTTATTTTGACAAAATCTTCAAATATCACTTCGCATTTTTTTGTAGGTCTACTGTGCTTCTATGCATGTTTTTGACAGAGCGATCTACTGTATCCAACCAGAAACCGTCTTAGTATGAAGACGATATTGTCGTCCGAGTCACAAAAATCTTTCTTGGCCGAGAAGATAACAATTAAATGCGCCATTGTCCCGAGGGAACGATCTTTATGCGGTGACATCTCGTCGTCGTTGATCGACCTGCTCACGCGAAGAGACGCGTGCCCGAGGGAAAAGGATTTCTCAAAGTCGCATGATCGGGGACAACCGTTCGATTGCAGTGTTCGAATTGTCGATCCTCGAGATTGTTCGCGACGATCGTTCCCGGCAGACCGATTGATCATTCGAACGGCGGACATTCGTAGGAGATCGTAGATCTCTGCCGAGCCCGTGTAAGAGTTATAGATCGTTCG